TCCACACAGTCATGAGGAAATGAAAATCCAGCTGAACGCATTGCCAATCAACCATAGACAGTGGCAATCGGTCGGTGGTGCAAACTCTAAACCAAGGAGATTGTAATATCAGATAGCAGCGGCAGTTTCATTTTCCTGTATTTGTTGAAATACGCACAATCCCTGGCGTATACATTCGGGTGGAAATGAGATGGAAGTGGAGGGGCTAGAGTTCCTTGAACCCTCCCAACCTTCGCCGGGCGTAATTTCGTCCCTGGTCTTCCATAGTACAAGGCCTTCCTGAAGTCTGGCAATTTGCTTTACCGCACAACGGTGTAAATTTTTAATTGCCCCACATCCGAAGCACAGGGGGGGGCACAGGGAGCGGCCGTGCCTGGAATAAAGCACATGTCAAAACCCTTCTTCAAACCTGCGTGCTCTGATTTGATGTGTGTACATATGCTCTTCGTATTTGTGTATTCTTCAGACGGGAAACATGCAAACGCATTCAGCCTGAGCTTCTGGAGCTGGAAAATTAGATCAGAGTATGTAGCTGTGACCTCATGGCTATGCTAGAAAGAGAAATGGACAGAAAAAAGGGGCAAACGTAGAAAGGAGGCAGCGTGTGCATGAAGATAATGCACTGACTGCCATGAGCCGGGGGGATTTGAGCCGAATATAAGATTGGACCGACTATAAGCATCAAGCAGTTCTGCAATAAGTCCAGTTTCTTGCTGCCCACGAGCACTTCATTAGCAGACTGCTTTATGCATGCGTATTCAAAATAAACTAGCACTCGTTTCTTCACTGGACTCTTTACTGTTCTTGGAGAGCGAACTGAGATTGTGAGAGGCTGGTTGGTGTATTTGTGCAACCCAATAAAGAAACAAATAATAATCTTTTGCACGTTTGTGAGTTTTGGTCTTAAACAGCCACGAATGCGATGCGAAATTAAACATTTTGTCGGTTGTTTGGTTTCTATTTCTGTACACTAAAATCTCATTTGGTCCAAAAAAAAAACGTTTCAAATGGCTGTATAGTAAACAAAGTACATTTGGCTGTGATTTTGTTACCTGACGCAGCATTTTGTTTTCAATAAAAACAAAGAATAACATTAAAGATCACTTTTGTTGAGTTTCGTAACACTAAATCATCAAGCGGCAATTTTTTTCTCCGTTATTCAATTTTTTTATTTTTATTTCTGTCACATTACACATCAATTTCCCACCTGCACTAAAATCTAATTTGTCGAAAACACAATTTGAGTTACATATTTGATTAAAAAGATTGACTGTATATTAAACATCAAACTTGTTGAAATTTTATTTTGCAGTTTTTAACTTTCATTAATTACGAAATTTGCTTTTGTTAACTTTCCCAAATCAGGCGCAACACAAAGCAAGTGATAAAGCCTATTTTTCTATTTTATTTCAAGTTTTGGGTTTCTATTTTTGTCGTGTCAGCCTCATCCACAGTGAAATCGCATTTTTATAACTTTTTTTCTTTTCAAATAGCTGTATATTAAATCTCAACTATTTTCTTATTGGTTATTTCGTTTAGCAATGTACTTTTAGTCTGGACAAACAAATGACTTCACTCTGTAAACTAATCACGCCACACTTTCTTCTGCCATGTTTTTATTAGAATCCCCTCATGCATTGTAGCCCCGCCCACACTGAAATCTCATTACTCTGGTTTTTCATAAATTAAACATCAAAAATGTTCTGATTGGTTGTCATTTTGATTAGCATTGTGCATAAGTCCAGGCAAACAAATTACTTAACTGTAAATTTGTTGCATCACACCTATTTCTGACACAATTTCTATTCCAATCACCTCATGCAACATAGCTCCACCCACAGTGAAATCGCATTAGCCTAAAGTCATCAATTAAACATAAAAAATTGGTTGTTATTTTGATTAGCATTGTAGTTTTAGTCTGGTCAAACAAATAACTTGACGCTGTAAATTTGTTGGATAACATCTATTTCTGATGCAATTTCTATTTGCTAACATTCTTCAAAACATCTCCTTTTGTGTTCCACACAATGAAGCTCCGCCTACAGTGACATTTTATAAGTCTAAAGTCTTGTTTTTCCATTCATTAAACACCAAATATGTTCTGATTGTTTGTCATTTTGTTCAGTATTGTACTTCAGTCCAGACAAATAAATTACTTGTCGAATCACACCTACTTATGTTTTCTATTCCAATCGCTTCACACAATGTAGAAGTCCTATTTGTCATAAATTAAAGGGGTCATATGATGCGATTTAAATTTTTCCTTTCTCTTTGAAGTGTTACAAGCTCTTGGTGCATAAAGAAGATCTGTAAAGTTGCAAAGACTAAAGTCTCAAATCCAAAGGGATATTCTTTATAAAAGTTAAGAGTCAGCCACGCCTACCTAAAACGGCTCTTTCTAACACGCCCCCACATATCTACGTCACGATGTGGGAAGATTTGCATAATGCCGCCCAAATGTTCACGCAAAGAAAGGCGGCGTAACTTTTATTCTCGCTGTAGTTGTTGCTGCCGCCGCTGCCATGTCATGGATACCCTGTGTGTTTCGTTGGGAAAGCGAAACTACTTTGGTTGGCCTTCCAAAAGAGGACACAACTAGAAATCAGTGGTTAAGTTGTATTTACAACACTGTTCCAGAACAGTACAACTGTTGAGGACTGTTTCCTGGGAGAGTAGCCTACAATGCCGGCGTTTCTATACAGTGGGGCAGTTCCAACTTTGCAAGGACAGTCATTATAATCCGTAATTATGTCCCCACTGGATGCAACAAATGCCTCATTTGTAATGGGTTTTATTGTTTTTGTCTCGTCGCTCCGGGACACGACCGGACAGTATGGTAAGGTCCGTAACATTTCACATTACACCAAATACACAACATAATGTTCTTTTTAGCAACGTCATATGACCCCTTTAAAGATCAAATTTGTTCTGACTGGTTGCCATTTTGTCACTTCGCTTTTGCTTTGATGGCAGAAAAAAAGTGTATCACTTATAAAAATATATATTTGTCATATCGTGTCTGGTGCTAGTGTTACTTTAATAACTGCGAACTGCTGGCGGCCCGAGGGCGTGAGAGGCTGGTGGGTGTTCGGCAAGTTCGCCATTGCTTCTTTTGAAGAGTTTGCAGATGGATGAGTGCTTCATCAAGCTCTGCCTTGAGAAGAACTCCATTATCTCGGTTAAACATCTCACTTTGGCACCTGGGAGCCGCACGAGTCGTGACCGCTCCCTCTACAACTTCAGACTCGAGAGAATGGAGGCCGGTAAGGTTTTCCATAATCAATTTACCTACCGAGATGACTATAACCTTTTCCAACCCTCCCCCATGAGCTTCCTCCACTCTTCCCCTGTCTCGCCACCTCTCTCTTTCTACTTTTCTATCTCGCGTTCCTTCCCGCTTTCTCTCTTTTTCTCTCCTCCACTCCCACCTCAGTACATGCCAATGAATAATTCACCAGTCCATGTTGTGAAATGTGAGGTAAACAAGTCTATTGCCTAATGTCCCGGGAGGATGGAGGGAAGGAGAGAGGAGATAGAGAGAGGAAAGGATGTCTGAGTGCATGTGTGAGGTGAAGATTTCAGGACTGTGGTTTACATTTCAATGTCCCTGAATCATTTGCACCTCGGTTGACCCTAAAGGTTATACAGAGAGCGGATCACAACACAGATCCATCTCTTTATGCTTCTTCTCTGTGCATTTCTTTCTCTTAAAGGGATAGTTCACATAAAAATTATTTACATGCATTTTTTAATGAATAAAACGACTAGAACATTCTTCAAAACATCTCCTTTTGTGTTCCACAGAAGAAACAAAGTCATACAGGTTTGGAATCACACTGCGGCGAATAGCAAATTATGAGGTTTTTTTGTTTCTGGGTCAACTGTTTCTTTAAAAATGTCACTGCATTGTGAAAAATGAAAAAAAAAAAAAACTCAAATGCATTTTGACAGTTCATAGCTTATCTATATCCAACCGGAGTCTTTTAGCAAATAAAACAGCAGTGTGTGACTACTTCTTAGAGACAAACTATGCGTGTGTGACTGAATAGCTGTGTGATTCAGACAGACTGTGCTAAATGGCTCAGCGTCCAGTCCTCGAGATTGAAATGGCCGACGCGCTGATATGCTGGCAATGCAGCTATTCAACAAAACAATATGGCCAAATATGCAGTTCGTAAGTTGAAGTGACTGATTTGTTCTTAATTGTTTGGAATCGAGTTGATTGCCTGGTTCACTACTACTACTACCACTAAAAAAAAAAAAAACTTCTGCTTATTATTTGTTTATATTTGAAAAACCTTTGTCTGGCAAGAATTAATGTGGTTCGACCAACAAAACAAACAAACAAACAATGCAAAAACATTGTTGGTCACACCGCATGACTTCGATTTGGCAAACAATGTATAAATGTTACATATATACATCCCTGCAATTTCACTAATAATTATTTGCTAAATTTTAATTTTTACGCCTTAATAACAAGATTAGTTCAGGTTGTAAATTGTCATGTGGTGCAACTTCCCAACAAAAATAATGATATTTATGAATTAATAATTCATGATATTTGATAAAAAAAATACTATACTTTAGAAAATATATTCAAAAACATAAAAACCTATGTATTCAAGATGTAAGAATTTTTTTTACTTTTTACTTGACAGTTACACCACATGACATTTTAAATAAATATAAGCTTTAAAATGACACTTTTTTGTTTGAAGAAACCACATGAAACCTAAAGAATACTAAGAATGCATTTCTAAGAACTAAAGACAAGATAAAAAAAAAAAAAAGATTAAAGGATTTTGACCCTTATAATAATACAGTGACCCTAGAATGTATAGAATATACAGATCTATCATTGCAACCTGATTGCAGGAGGAACATCAAAGTAGAAAGAAAGTAGGAAGAAAAAATGCAACACTGAAAATAAGAGTGTGTGTGTGTGTGTGTGTGTGTGTGTGTGTGTGTGAGTGTGTTAAAGAGGAGTGTGTACTCACTGGCATGGTTTGACTGCCGTGCAGGGCGCTGATTGCAGACTGAGCTTCAGCGTGTGTGGAGAACTTTACAAAGGCGCAGCCTGATAGAAAAAAGACACACACACAAAGGCACACAAATGCTTTAACCACAGTGTAGAGAAGCACATTAAAACACTGGAGAGGCAGAAAGCCCTCCAACGGTAAGCAAGCGGCTCCTCTAGAGACTGTACTGATGTGAAAAGTGTGCTATTTACTGCCACATGCTCATCTATGCAAACAAAACACCAAATACAGGATAATTGATATCTTTTTAAACACCGCCACAGATATTCATCATGAGGATTCAAACCCATTTGAGATTCAAGAGCAGTCGTGTTGCAAGCCGTTGAAGAAGCTGTCAAAATATTAAGGATAGGTCTTAATGTGCCTTATACAAGCGTAACATGTTTTATACAGTTTTTATTTAAGAATTAAGCACATTTTTGGCAGAAACAGGGTTTGAAATAAAACACATTAAGAGCTAAATTAAATGTAGTTTTCTTGTCTCATCATACAGGGAGTGTTTTGACATCTATTCTTCTCTTCCATAAGACAGGATATATTTCAGAGATCCACCCCCTAAGTAGCAGAAATAATCCTACAGCAATTTTCGTAACACTGGCAAGGGGAAAACTTGCACTCCCACAGTGCTTTTCCAAATGCCAGGCTGTATTAGCATCTTACAGTGTCCTTAAAGCCTCGGTGGGCAAACAATGTAGTCTATAAAAAGTTTAATGCCCAAATATGTGGTTTTTCTCCGTCTCTTAAGAGCCTTCGATGTTGAACGAGCGACAACTCAGAACAAACTGTTGGTTCTTGGACAGCATAAAATGTCAACATTAAATTTAAAAAAAAACGTTGGTAGGGGTTTGATATTATCTTCCGGAAATGACTGGATTTCATGCTGACTGATAATACAGTGTCATATATAAAAAGTGACATAATTTCACCTTTACTATTTCCATCCGGACCTCTTAGCACAGTACACTCCTCGATGACTCCATAGGGCTCGAAAAGACGGTACACGTCCTCCTCCGTCTGCTGTTTGTTCAGCATCCCCACGAACAGCTTCCTGTCTTCTGAAGCAAAGAAAAACAGAGCGAATGGAATGACTGGTGTAACCTCTCACCTCCCAATTACCCACATACATTACTATTGTAAGCACAGCCCAAATACTATTCAGACATTTGGTCCTTGGCCAGCATGGGCAAAAAGGGACTGCTTTTGCTTGGCCCATTTAGCATGTCGAATGGAGACGCAGCAGTAATTGTTCCCCGTGCCAAGTCTGTTCATTTTAATTTGGGGGATAATTGGGTTCAACCCCATGTTGGAAATGGTGGGTAGGCCTGAGGTGATAGCACTAAGCTGTCGTGCTTAGAGGCCTGGTTTAATAGGAAGAGGCAGACTGCGAAGAGATGCTGCTTTCTACGAAATTTCTGGAGGGTGTAGATAGACTTGAGAGCACTGCTACCGCTGGTCTGGAATTCAAACGAATGTGAGCTGTATTTGTCCCGTTCTGTGTTTAGTTTATGGTAATTGGGTGTAGATAATACAGATAATACTTTCTTTGACTGAGCTGAAATCTTGAATGTTATATAAATATTATTCTCACAAATTATAAAGGGCACTTTGCCAGGTGATACTGGCCAAATCATTTCAAAGCCTGACGACTTTTGCGAGAGAATCACCGTGACATATTCTATTGAATATTATAAGGGTTATAAGCATCATGCCTATTCAAATTTATTATCATTTACCATTAAAAACCAAGATAACTGAATGAATGATTGATTGAATGAATGAATGAATGAATGAATGAATGAATGAATGAATGAAAATTATAGATAGATAGATAGATAGATAGATAGACAGACAGATAGATTTTTGCTCTGTCAACAAATGTATTTCCAAAGTAAGATAAACAGAGAACACGCAGTGGCATTTTGTCCCTGAATGAAGCAGTGTTTTGAACGAATCGGCTGATGAAATGATTTAATGTCTCACTTGTTCTGCTCCTAAATGTATCCGTGCTCGACTAACTAAATGATTCAATATTTTGTTCATAAATAGAGATACTTCTCGCTACTCAACAGAAAGAATCACTAAAATTAAGGCAAGACACCCCAGGTGAATAAAGTAAAAGATTTAGTAGATATCACCATACTTACCCATTTGATTGATTACATTAAGAATTGCATTGTTTGTTTTTTTTGTTTGTTTGTTTTTTGTAGAACCATAAAGTTTGGTTAATGTAAGTGCACTGCAAACAAAGTGGAGATTTATGGCTTAGAAAAAAAAACTAATTTTGATAAAACAGCCTTTAAAGATATTAAATGTAATTTAATTCTACAGACACAAATAGATAAAGTGCAATAAAATAAATAACATTATGAAAAGCCGAAATCTCAAAACTAACCAATGAATTATGAAACACTGAATTATTTTTTTGTTAGTTTTTCCTTTCCTCCAAAAACCAAGGTTGGGGAAAAAAATGAAGTGAAGTGTCTTGCAGCTTCAACAGATTAAGTGCAAGCCAACTAAACCTACAACTTTATCATTGCATTGATCTTTTTGAATATACTGTATGTCAATGGGATGGCTGTGTCTATTGAGTCTCCCTCAGTCCTCGGATGCCACGATGACTCCGACACGCACGTATTGATATTCCTTGATTCGCTCTGGAACCTGGCCGGCTCTGTGTCTCGCCACGGTCGTGATGCGCTCTAAAATAATCACGAGTGTCAGCACGTTGTCTGGGCCCCGTGCGCTCTTTATCATTTGTGGCAGGATCAGAGGGTATGTATCAAAATAGAGGCGATGCATTGTGACATCTGTCACGTTACATCGGAGAGCATTTATCTGCAAAAAAAGAAGGCCCTGAACTGGAAAATAAAAGGGCAGGACGGGTCTTCGACAATGCCTGAGGGGGATCTTGCAATCCGGAGGTGCGCCGGTAACATTCCTGGACGAATTCGCATAGATGTGGCCTTGAGGTCTCGCCGTGCTTCTTGTGATGTCTCAGCTCAGGGAAACGGGTGATGGGACTCTGTTCAGGCTGGATTAATGTACGAAGCTGACCTGTATGAATTTAATACCGCGTGTGCTTCACCTCAATATTTATGCCACAAGCGCTGCTGTGGTAGCATGCTTTAAAATACACCCTTGCGGCTGTCCGACGGCTGACAGCTGAATGGAATGCTACTTATAGGGCAGAAAGAGTGTAACAGTAACACACACTGTAAATCAGATTATTGCATGGAGACAATGCAGGGGACATAACTTCAAAGAATAGTTCATCCAAAATTTAAATTCTCATGTAATTTCAAACATGTATGACTTTTTGTGAAAAAAAAGACTGTGCTGGACGATGTCGTCCACGCAGTTACAATAAATGAAGACTGGAAGCTTCAAGCTCTCAAAAATGACAAAAGCAGCATGAAACGATCATAAATGTGATCAAAAATTGAAGTTGCTATTCATTGAAAATCTTGACATCTGCACTATATTGTGGTCAATAGCAAGAAAAGTATTCAAACTTTTCATTCAATCACAAAGCTGGTCTGAATGATTTGTGAACACATTCTTTTGAGTCAAATCTTTTAATTAAACCACAAAATGACTTGATTTGTAAACAATTTGTTTTTTGCACCAAATCCTTTAATTGAATCACAAAACTGGTCTTAATGAGTCACATCTATTTATTGAACCATAAAATGGCCTGACAGAATTAATCAAATCTTTTCATTCAATCACAAAACCGGTCTGAATGATTTGTCTGATTTGTCAACAATCCATTCTTCCGAGTCAAATCTTTTCACTGAATCGCAGAACTGGCCTAATATTTTTTGTCCAATTTGTAAACAAATCATTCCTTTGAGTCAGGTCATTTCAATGAATCCCAAAAACAGCATGAACGATTTGTCTAATTTGTGAACAAATCCTTCTTTTGAGTCAATTTTTTTTAAATGAATCAAAAATCCTCTAAATCTTCAGATATATTATTTAGCACTTTAGCTGTACTCCTGTTTTTCCATGATTCAATAAGGTGCAAAAGCTCCAAGCGATTTATAAAATAAATCAGCCAGAGAATGTTTTCATCACTCTTTCTGACAGGGATGAGGGATAAAGCATCACCACAGGGCCACCGTAAAAAATAAAAACAGACGCGGTTACTGACATTACACATTAAGAGAAAAGAAAACCACACACACATTTCTTTCTAAAACACACACGATCCATTATAGAAAATATTGGAATACAATACAGACTACATTACATTATACTACATATAAAGGAACGTATGGAATAGCATCACAATCTTGCATTATTCAACTTTCTCGGTTTACTCAGATGACAAAAGCTCATGAGAATCGACTGCAGTCAATAATGCAGTTGCAGTCCATAAATAAGCAAGCAAAGCGAGTTTATCGACAGCATGACCACAACGATTCATTAAAAGGCATCGGACTAAAGAACACATGCTGTAGAGTATCTTATTTATTTGAAATATAATGTGCACTTTGATAGACTGTTCAATCACTACAGTATCATTAATGTGCTTCTCATCGCACGTTTAATTGATTAGCGCTCTTGATATTTGCATACTTTACTCCCCCCGTGTCCTTCACACCACGTCCGGCCCCACCAGCTGTGATGCTGCCTCAAAAAATGACTCCTATCAAGCTTCATCAACTTCAGTGGCTGGAAAGAGTTTGGTTTAATACATCACAAATTAAGCCACACAACGACAAGGAGAAAACAAGATTGCTAGCTCCACGTCTAAGGGAATTTATGTCCTTGTGATATGACTGAGCGCAAGTTCTTATTTGTTTAATATCATGACTGATATTTGTTATCTTTATTATAGGAGGGATGCTGCTAGACTGCAGAGTCAAAGCTATTATTAGGCATTGACTATAACCTGGTGTTTATTTGTAAATATCTCATACATTAAGTAAAGAGGATAGAACAGCCCGGGGGAGTACAAACTTTTTAGTTTAGGAATAATTAGCTTTGCAAAAGATTAAAATATTACATAAAAAATATGTTTACAAAAATAACACTGATATCTATCTATCTATCTATCTATCTACCTATCTATCTATCTATCTATCTATCTCTATCTATCTATCTATCTATCTATACATTTTAATTTTAGTTTAACTTTAGTCTTAATTTTAGCAATTTTATCATGTATCTTATATATTATACAGTGTGTGTATATAATTATTAAATACCAAATAATACATACATATGAATAAAGTCAAAGTGGCAAAATCAAAAAAACATTTATTTTTTATCTAATTTAATCTTTTTTTTTTTTTAAATGCAGTTTTTTTTATTTCTTACTGTTAAAAACTATGGCTGTCAATTGAATAAAAGAATCAAAATTAATCTCCTTCCACCCTGTTTTCGGTCCTATGAGCGTCCCACAGATCCCCAGTTTGTAAACCCCTAGTATATTCCATCTACAGAGGCCCAAAAAATTAACTGGACACTTGAGGCCCACCTAAACTACAAAAACAATTATTATATTTCACAAAAATTAATTATATAGATACTAATCATCCTGAATAAAAGATATGAACGCTACACTGACAACAGGTTATTATCCTAAGGCAAATGATCTTCCGCTAAACCCTAAAAGCGATAAGCCTGGTGATGAATTGCAATTGCGTTTTTACAATGTGGATCCCAGTTGTTGTTTTGTCCGCAAAAAGCATCCGCGGAGGCTCTCTAAACATGCAAACGGTGTCCTGGCTCGCAGGAGCAGATCCTGCAGCCTCCGATAAGCCGGGATGAGTGCGGGAGGTGAGCGGTCGAGTTTGTAAATCATTGTCCTGAGAGAGCCGGACGATAGTGAATCATCACTTTTGGTGCTCTTTTGCTTTCGTGCAGGAAAGAAGGCCTGTGGAAGTTGCCGTGACAACCGGCTGTCAATCAAGCCTAAATGGGGCTGGTCGAAAAGCGGAGGGTCATTCCTTAATCTGCTGTCGGGCGCGCAGTGTAAATTCCATTGTCTGAGGCGGCGATAAGGAGAAATGATGAACAATATTAGCATCTTGATAAAAAGCAACAT